TCTCCATATCTTAGTCAAGAATTCCCTCGGACTAAATAAAATGAAAGCACTAGTTTGCATACGCACCCATTGTAAGGGGCCAGGCTGAAAGCTTCTGGTGAGGGAGCATCACATGCACTTGCAGTAAACATGGTTAGCACTAACAAGACACTGAGTTCAGTGGCGACAGCAGACTCAGTAGCAGTCCTGATCACTCACCTACAATCTCTTTCTCTAAATATTTACCATAATAGAGCATCTTCCCTTGTACTTTTTCTCTCTCTGGGAAGTAATGAATGCAATCATTCTCCAAACTTGCTGCTCACCTTCTTCTCTCAAGCCCAAAGAAGGCTGTGTAATCAATCACAAGGGCAAAACCCTCCTTGTCCCAGTATACTCTGTTTCAACGCTGGTGTTAATGCTCCTCCCTGTACTCCTCTCTGAGCAGCGGAAGGCAGGCTACTTCCTGTGGAAGGCTAGTTCCACTACCTCAGAGTAATTGCAGTGAGTTGGGCAGCCCCCATGTAAACCACCCTGACTCAAGGAAAAGAACCAGGAGAGTGCCCATTTCTCATTGACCATAAAGATAAAAGGAATTAGTCAAGTGGAGAGTGACACACAGCAGTGTCTGCATACTGGCTGGAGATGCAGCCTAGCGAGGTGCCATTCTCATCCACTGCACAATGCGAGTACTGGATTCAGTTCCACAGCAAGAAGATCAGATCACTGGGGCCTGAATTATTGCAATGGATTAGTAACTAAGGACTCAGCTTTGGAAAATGAATTGCAGATCTCAGTAGAAAGCTACAGGAGAATCCAAAATCTAATTCATACTGGTCCATGAATGAGAAAAACTTGGCTCAAAGAGTTTTTACATACAGAATAGACATCAACACACCCTGGGAACCCGACATGAATGTGAATGAAAATCATACTAGAATTTATCATTTGAGTTTCTAAAAATACACCATGCCGACTTTTGAAATGAAACATGATCACATAAGTTCCAGCACTTAAAACATAGACACACTCAAGATGCACACTCAAGATGCGAACAATCAGATGTACACACACTCAAAATGTGCACAAACTCAAAACACAGTAGCACATTCTTCATGACTATTAAAAAAAAACACTTGAAAATCTGAGTGTATTCTGGAGGTGCAAGATATAACTGAACAACAATCTCCATTTTTAAAGAAGTTTTAAAAACCAGTAGTATGTAGTCTAAAGGGCTTTATTAAGGTCCACAGAATAGAACAGTGCAACCACAGGGTTATACAGCCCTGGTGTAAACAACTCAAGCCAGGAAACAGGGAGAGGACTGGACATTGCAGCATGTGTCCAGGTTCAGGTTTAACACTCATGCACCAGATAGACTCAGTAATATGCTACTTGGATTTTGGTGATTTTTCTAAAACAGTGTTTAACTATATACAGAACAGGGGATTACTACAGTTTGAGAAAGAGACATTCCAGCTGTCAATTGGAGACAAGCCCTGGTGAATTCATTCAGAACAACTCAGAAGATGAGGAAAGAACTCTCATATTCAATGTTTAAGAAACTATTTGAATGACATAAATATGATGCAGCCATTGTCCATTTCAGAGAGCAGTTTGATGTGACAACCTAGAGAGATGACACCTACGGCATGACCTTCTTAATCTACCTTCATGATTTTGGGCTAAAAGAAATATCAACAAACCCTAATATTATTTCTAGTACTGTATTTTAGTCTATTTAAATTTCTATCTTTGAGCTGCTCAACCATAAACTATGGACAACAATGTGCAAGCAAGGAGGGTAAGCTAAAGGCATTTCATGTAACAAACCCAGTTTTTAAACATAGGCTGACATATTTCCGTACATATTTATAAGGCTTCTGGGTTATTATTGGGCTATAATTGCAGTTGTTCTAACACCTAATAAGCCACGGTTGGAAAAACAAAAGCAGGTTAATTTGTGATTTCCTCTACTCATTCAGAGGCAAATTAAGTGTCAAACAGCTAATACAGAACATATTTCATTTTATGAGATTTTAATTTAATTCTGCACCATATCATTGATGCCTTAATATAGGGTGGTTTATCTAAAAAGAGGGGCAATTTATAAATCTTTTCAATAGAATCTCTAATGATGGAATATGATAGCATAATTACCGCCGTGCCTGCCATCCTTCCGAACACTGGTCTGTTGGCATTTCCATCAACACATGCCCTTGCTTTTCAGAGACTTATAATTTAGTTTCTAAAGTTGGCACCAGAAGAACAATTGTGTTTACAAAACAATGAGAATATCTCCAAGTTTTATCTTCCTGTAATTAAAATATTCACTCTAAAAGCTTACTAAGCTCACTTGATTTCATCTTCTAGAAGACAATTATACAGCAAGCATTTTGGAATTCAAATTCTGGTTAAGATACATTTTATGTTTTACAGTTAATACTGGGAAGGTTTTGGTAGAGGGGCCACATTTACTATCAATACCCTCACAATCACAGGTGTGTTCATACCTTGACAGAAGGGGTACAGACAGCTGGGTCATTTCTGAGCGAGACCAGAAGAAATCTGGTACCCTTATACATTAACTATAAGCATTTATTTAGAGACCCAAGCTTTGAAGAGTACATACATAAGGTTATTTTATTGAGCTCTTCCTCAAGCAGATAGCTTTGTTTTAGTGAAGTGTAGGGCCTTCACATCAGGAGGCACTTGCCAGGACCTACAGTACAAGTGTGTTGCAAGCCTAAGGCATCCTGATAACTCAACCATTACTTCAAAGGTTGGAGAAGCCTAGCTATCCACTGAGGACCATCTACACATCTATCTGTTCATATGCTGAGCACTTTCCCCACATACAATTCCTAACAAATTACCAAGCAAGAAGAATACAATGGGAAGACAGCACAATGCTACAAAGAAGATGTGGCTTGCTCTCACTTCTTAGAGCCCATGTCATAATCTCAGTCAGAGCCACCCAGGAATCTACTATGGCAAGCTGATGTGAACAATCCCAGGAAACTGCAGACATGAGGTGCCATGTTTCACACCCACAGACACAACATTCTCTCAGAGTCCTCAAGGACTTATTCTCTTGAAACGCAGAATTGTCAACCTGCCTTACATCATAACTCCTTGATAATTATACATGTAGGCTGCACAAGAACAATTTAGTCAATTACTACTTAAGTATCTTAAAACTTGGCTGAAAAAGTAGAAAGCACTGGGAAGCTTAGAAACCTCAGCTCAAAGTCATAGCTGAAGCAAAACCCATGGCTGACTCTCTGCTCCTCCACACATGACTTACCTTATCTTTAACACTGTTTTTGCTATGAACCCAGGCAGAGTCTAGACCATACAACAGGGATTGTGGGAGGCTTTGTTGTTCCTATAACTCTAGGACCAATAGGTGCAGTTTTTAATTGGTAACTTCCTATTTGAATTTATTTACAAGATGAACTATAATACACCCAGAGGAAAGAGTTCAGCATATTATTTGAGCTTAGTTTTTAAAAAATCTCTAGAGCATGATTTTTGAAAAAGTGAAAAACTTTCAGATTCCATAAAACATCTGGTTTAAATTATTTCATCAGAAAGACTGAGAGAAATTAGCTATCTTTGTCTCTAAAGTCTTGTGTGATCTAGATACAGGCTAGAACATCAAAGATCCCTGTGGTCCTATCCATACCATAAAGGTTCTACAAGACCAGGTGAGTCACAGCTTATCTTGCAAACTCAGGAAGGAATGCACTCTGTGTAGTAGAACTTCCTTTGGCCCTTTTGCGTTATGTGAGTAGCTTCTCCAGGCTTCAGAACCCTGTAAATACTTGCTTGTACTCTAGTAGAAGTAAGAAGAGGAATAAGTCACAAAATTCTGCATTCTCCCTCTGTAAATACCCACTTCTCCTCCAATGCTTACAGAAGTTCTCAATGCAGATTTATTACTCACCTCCAGGGCAAATCTAAACTGAAATTACAATTCAGTAATGGGAGATGGATCTAAAAATTGGTTGGTAAAATATTATATGTGTACTTGGGCATGCAGTTAGGACTGTTAATATCAATTAATTCTGTTCACAGAGGAGGACTTGTTTTAAAACAACTTCATTTTTCTTCAGCATACCATATAATTACACAGCTGTAACTAATAGTCAGAGAGATGCAATCTAGCATCTATATAACCAGCATTATTCTTCAAAGTATTATTTGTGCTTTTCTAACTTCTCCATCTCAGAAGGAAAGGTGATTATTACATATGACTACATGTGTACCAAGGCCATTAGCAGGGAACAGCCCCTTCCAGGGAGTGCATCCAATTATTATACTATACGACAGTTTTCTCAAATTTACTGCAGAAGAATACTCTGTTAGTGTATAAATCAATGATTCTTTTTCTTTCCCTTCAAAACAAAATGAGATAATATTTATTTCTATAAGACTTTCTTTTTCCTTTTATACTAAATACATTTTATCACACATCCTTTTCTTTTATCTTATGTGAAACCATGTGCTCAATCACATTTGCCATTTTGTTTGGGTGACATTCCCATCAATCAAGTGACTGTTGCTATACGGACCAAGGGGACTCTGAAAATCTTCCATAAACATTTCATTTAGATCCACTATAATACTTGGTCAGAACTTACATGTAACAAAAATTTTAGCATGTAGAACTTCAAACCTAAATCACAACCAAGCACATATTGTAAGTAGTATACTTCCATTAAGGTTTAACTTTAATGCTTTAATTTTAAGTTTATAACTCACATCTCTTTGCCTCTCAACAGCAAAATATTCAGAAAATAGTGGCCAGCTAAACCATATGGCAAGCATCCTCAGAAAGCACAGGGTCTGATTCAATACATCTAGGAGCAGATAGAGCTTTGCTATGTCTTAAGAGTAAATCTTAACACTGCTATCACACCTTCAAAGCCCAGAAGACATGCATTAACAAAGAGTCTTGAAGCATTAACGCCAGAGTTTAGGTCCATTTCATTAATGGGTAACATTTTAATACTTACACATGTAATGGAGGAATAGGAGATGGATCATAATGGTAACGGCCCTCATGATGTCTGGCATCAATTGGTACAGGAGGATGGAAAGCAGGGAAAAGATGAGGAGGGTCTGAAAAGGAAAGAAAGTACACCTTATATAAAATGAATACTTTGAGAAGGCATTTCAACTGAAGGCAACTTTACTATACCAAATATCTTTTAAGAATTTCAAGAACCGAGACCAAAGAAATGGATCAATGATCAAAAACACTTGCTGCTTTTGCAGAGGGACCTGAGTTTGATTCCTAACAACCATGCCCAGTGGCTCAAAACCACTCGTAACTGCAGCTCCAAAGGGATCTAACATCTTTGTCTGGCTTCCATGGGAACCTACAGTTCCTGTCTGCTCTTCCGCACATCTTGTCCATCAGATCCTGTGTGTGTGTTACTTTTACAGAATCTTCTTACCCAAAATTACTTGTACCTTCAAACCTAAAAAATGATTTTTAAAAAATATGTTGCTCTGCTACATAAAAGTGAACAGAACTTTAATGGTTTTTATAGCTACAAGTATAACTGATATTTAGTACAAATGTTTTGTCCAAGTTCCAAGGAATAAAATAAGGCAGCGTGAAACCTGTACATTTGTCACCAGTGCTAAGTGATACTATAGTAAATTATGTCAGGAGATAATTCTTAAATAGTGCCCTTGAGTACTGACAGTCAAGTGTCACAGCAAAGCATTCCTGGGGACTGATATGCACAGCAAGCAAACTTTAGAACAGTACCCAGTTACTTCAAGGATTCTGAACATTATAATTAGCAGACTTAAAGGCAAGTCAAACAAAAGCTTGCTAAGCAGGTTTTGGGCATCCAGAGCAGTCACTGGGAGTCACAAGCCTGGTAACAATGTCTGGGAAACTGCACAAGCACACCAGGCAAGTGTGTGAACTGTATCCCCCAAGGCAGCAATGATGCACCCCAACTGAGAACACAAATCCATAAATGTAAGTGGACCTAGGTGACTATTACAGTTACAAATTCAGAAGAATCTCATTTTCTTCCCTCTACAGCCATCAATTTCCCAATTTTTCTTCAGTTTTCCTTCTTTTAGAAGGTAAGCTATGCTTCACTCCCCCCACCACACCCCCAAGTTTTTCCCTCCAAGCCTTCCTTTAAAGATCTAAGCATACTTAGGACAAAAAGGTATGAAGGAAAAAATATGAGTATGCACTGACTAAATACAGGTGGCCCATCAAGGAGAGACACAAAATTGCATTTTCATTAGTATTCCTCAATGTTCTAAATCTAGAAAAATAGCACAAGAGGTCTGTGAAAGTGAGCAATGCTTCTTACTCAGTGAACACTTGTGGTTGTTGTAATATCAGGTAAGGAGGGAGTTAACAGTAGAGAAGCAGAGAAGGAATTAATTTGGTATTATCAAATCAGTGTCACTGTGGCATCACAAGGAAATGCATCCAGTGGAGTTACCTAATCACTTGTCACACCTCACACAATGCATAAGTACACATGAAAAACTACTGCAATTTAAGTTTAAAAATCGGCACTCAAAGGATGTAAGCCAATTCTCCTGTAACGGCTTGCTAAGTGTGAGTTTCAGGTAGAAGTTTATTCAGTCATGTGGCAAATTCAATGTTACACTTAACTCAGTAATCCTGAGATGAAAAGCAACCCTACAGGAAAACCAAATGTTCCTAATAGAAAAAGCAAAATATCCTATTTTATTTAACCAGTTTTGATGAAAGTTATCTTATCCATACTCCTTAAAACAACATAAAACTAATGAAACAGTCTTTGAGACTAGTTATAAAGTCAGCCAAATTCTCACTGAATGTATCTGAACTTTAAATTAAAAAAAAAATCCACATCAATCACGCTCAACTCTAATGTAAGGGGAGATGATCATCAAATATGGACAGTACCCCCTTCCCACACCAAAACAAGCTTGGCTCTGCAGCACCCAGCTCCTCGTGCCTGTCATCTTTCTTGGGAATCAAAGAAGCACATTTAATAGAACTATATGTAAATCAAGCAACTGTAAAGAGAAGTCCACTTTTGAAGAACGTCCCACATGGCCCTGTCTCAAGTGATCCTGTGACAACTGTGTGAGAGTTGGAAGATAAGAGCTTTACTTCCTTCCATTTTGGTTCCTGACTGTACAGTTAATATCCATCCACCAGATAAGCAGATGGCAAGTGCCGTGCCGTGGCATTCAGTGAAGTCGTCACGTTTGGTTTACAGCATTTCCTAAGTTTGGAAGTTAATTCTACATACAACTTGTAGCACTGTTATACAAAGTGTTATGGTCAAGGAAATTTACAAATTCTTAATTCTAGAACTGGGTCTAAATAAGGGACAGAAAATTAATAGATGTTATGTTATATAACTAAAGAACAATTGGTTTTAGTTTGCTGTTTTCCCATTCATATGCTTCTCTACTGATTAAATTTCAACAGGATTTTCTGGACTGTTGAAGCACATGTGAACAATTGTATCTTTTACTGGTTATGATTCATGGAAATCATCCCTCTTATGCCACATTTTTTGGGGAACTACCAAACACAATCCTCTTTTGATTCAAGGCATGCTTGTCATACCCTGAAGTGATAAAGAATAAAATGCAGGACAAGCAGTCCTCTAACATGTGTGGCCTCACACGGGAGTGATCCCAAGAGCCCTTAGAGGACTATCCCAGCCCACAAAGGCCTGCCTCACCTTGCATCTTGGTTCCTTGTTTCTAGGCATCGGCAGCATATTCCATCACAGACCCAAAAAGGTCCCTGTTGCCAGCAGCCATCATAATCTGCCACCTCAAGGTTTATTTTTCACACATGAGCAGTGCAGCTGGGGCACATCATAACTCAGTGTATGTGTTTTATGTTACAGCACCATAGCCATCTTTTGCCCCAGGACGTGACAAAACACTCCATGATGACTTCTCCAAAGTCAGGCAAAAACTGCTGAAGCAGAAGGAAGTGCCACTAAACCTGGCTACCTCCTATTTATCATACAATTTCCTGACTGATGGTTCCACAAACCAGCTGCTAAGTGCTGTGTACTCTACTGTCAGGAAACTAACGCGCTAAATGGAAGACAGGGAGAATAATGTGCAGACCTGGTAGAATCAATTTTACTGAGGGAATTAAAATTCCAGCAGGTAGGGGTGGGTCTGCAGAGACACGGTAAGCAGTGGACTATGCACAAGCATGGCTGCAAAGATGATTTATTACAGACTTACAAAAGGTTTGACTGTGATGCCAGAGGCCTCTGATACGAAACCGAGATTTGAAAGGTGTGTCCTAGCAGAGCCCTTAGTGTGTAAAAGTCTTTCAACCTTATGAATATGTAACTGGCTTGATACGTCTTTAAATAGAAATGCATAATAAAAATATTTGAGCTGGGTAGAGTTGTCAGTATTCAGCTTCACGCTGCCTGTCATCATGCCAAGTATTAGGGGGTTCATTAGAAATGAGAGGCGTTGAGTTTTGGGTTCCCTCACAACAGCATGGGTTGATCATAAAACCTATGGCCAGGGAATATCCAAAGACATGTGGAGATTGATCTTTAGTTACAGCCTTCTCCCAGGAAATAGTTTTAGTATCCTCGGGCTATAAGATCTCTTGGATGCCATCCTGGGAAATTGTCTTTTAAGGTTTCAAATTTACATACAAAAATTGTAGATTAAAAAAGGAGAGATCAAAGTCAACTCAGTTAGTGCCCTGAAGGAGTAATTCGCCAAATGATGTCAGAGCGCCCTGATTGCCCAGGAGGCAGTAGATGAGAAATCAACAGAAGTAAACTTCCAGGTGCACAAGTCCTCCTGGTTGATTTGGGTATCAACATAGTCTGGCCTGGAGACAGTATCAAGACCAGAGGTAGCAATGTTGAACTTGATCTTAGTCACCTTGTACCTGCTGTCAGTAAACAGACCAGGAAAAGGATGCATGGCTTCTGTTCTGAAATCCACTGGGCAAAATTCAATACAAACCCCTCTCCTTATATAAAATGAGGTCTCAAGTTTGGGAGGAGCAGAAAAAGAGGGAAGGAAAAACCAAAGCAGTGGCAAGACATTGCCCTATAAACTGACAGGGGGAGGCACCCTAGACATTACAATAGCCTCTCAAACTTGGAACATTTTCAGTAATCACCTCTTCCAGTAGCTTGATGAAGACATTGAGTAACTGAGACCTGAGAAGTCTCCAGATCCAGACTGATTCACTAACTCAGACTCTTGCTACTCTTGCCTTTGAATACATGGCACCCAGGGGGAAGTGATCTGGCCCCTCAGGAGATATTCCAGACATGTTACCACAAGCCTTCAGTAAGATAGTCTTTGGTTCTCCTTGGTCTGCAGAGATGAATTTAAGGATTCCTACTGTACATGGACAGAATGGACCTGTTCTGTATCCCTGTGGAACTTCATGCCCACCAAGATCTTGTTCTTAAATGCATGCTGTCAAGAGTTTGAAACCTCTTAAGAGTAATGAATATGTATCATCCTGTTACGATATTTGACATACCTGTTGTTAAATCACAAAGTACTTTATCAAAACTGTATACAGTGCAGAAAACATGCATCAATTTTTTTACGTATGGAAATCTACTTGATTTCCACTCTAAACATCAGCGCACATTGGTTAGGAATAGCGTGAGAGTGCGGCTGCGGCACACAGGAGGGCACCTCTAGCGTTAGTAAATCTACAGGGAGGAGAGACTTGCTAAGGTAAACACAATGGGTGAAATCAACCCGAAACCTACCAAACTATACTAATCATTTAATTTTCTAACTTGAAGTTACAAAATGAGGTCATATGTAGATTCATACTGAAGGTTGACCAGCAAAACCAAAACTAAATACAACACCTTCTATTTCTAAAACTCAGTAACTTTACTTTTGGCAAATATCTCAATTTCTGACTGGGCTTATTAACATCCAAGAATATTTCCAAGCTGCTCAAATGCCCAACCTTCACTGCTTCTTCTGTGCAAATATGTACACAATCTATGCAGTTAATTTAACTGATACGCTAGATATCACTGCTATAACCACAGCACTCTCTCCATGCTACCATTCACACCCTTTGAAGCATTCAAACTCATGCTATGCCT